GGGAGCCCGATGCAGGACTCGATCCAGGGACTCCAGGATCATGACCTGAGCCGAAGGCAGTCGCTTAACCAACTGAGCCACCCAGGCGCCCTGAAACTCCTAATTCTTAAACAAGGGCGCCACATTTTCATTTTGTACTGAGCCCCACAAATTACATAGTCAGTCCTGTCCCTGGCCCTGGGGGCAGGGCCTGATTTCCCTTCCCAGGGCAGCTGGGCAGAGGATTAGAGACAGAAACTTCTTGAGTGAATCTTCTCTCCAGAGGAAGAAAATGAGGGAGATGGGGACACACAGCTATTCCCTCCACAGAGCCCCTGCTCCCAGAGAGCAGAGCCACCTGGGTGAGTCAGAAGTTAGTATCAAGCAGCCTCTCAAAGGTCCCTGGACAATGTGAGCTGAGAGAAGCCTTGGGGAGGAGCCCTGGAGCTGGGCTTAGAAGGGCAAGAAGTCGATGGCATCCTGGGGTTCAAGGAGGGGAAGGAAAGAGCGAGAAACCTCAGGGAGAGATGCAGGACCCATGGAATAGTCAGGGCTGGAGGCCCATGGTATTCAGGCTCCAGGCCTAGCCCTGCCTCAGGCCAAGTCATGAACCCCTGCCAGCCTGTTTCCTCAGTGATGACATTGGAATCTTAACATGTGCAAAGGGCTTTGAACACGTACACAAACTATCAAGTGCGGTCCCTGTGAGCAGAGTCATGCGTTTGCCATTTGGGAGAGGGTCAGGAAATCAGTGTCTCTCCTGGGTCCTGTCTCAGAGGAAGACAGCAACCCCTGGGGGAACCGCAGACCTTGGCTCAAGGTTCCTGACGTGAGTGGGTGTGGGTGGTGGGAGCCCAGGTGGACACCACATGGGCAGATGGTGGAACCGCTCTCTAGGAAATCAGACAGACCGTCCTCTGTTGCCCCAGGCACTCAACCTTTATTTCTCTACCAACTGCATGTCAACAGATGGGTATAGGGCCCCACCACCCTCCCCTACCTCCAGGTCTGCCAATCCTCCGGCAGGAAAGAAGCGGAGAATCTCTGTGGGCTGGCGCCCGGGGGAGCCCTGCCCAACTCTGCTTGGGTAAAAGGCCACAGTACCTGGAGCCCTAATTTTTGCCAAAGGGGCAAAAGCGGAGTTAAAAGAACATTTATGTCCATCAAATACTCCTTTCCCATCATCCGACATGATCCAACACACATTCCTCCAGCAAGGAGGGAGGGAGAGGAAGTGCCCTTGGGTAACTAGCCATTCTTATTGACATCCTTTCGGCTCATGGGTATGTGGGGTTGGGGGCAAAGAGTGAGGCCAAGAGTCTAGGGGACTCAGAATCACCCAGCTGCACAGACTGTGGGATGGTGCACACAGGGTTGGGCTGAAAGGGCACAGTGATCGGGTACACAAGGATGTCTGGGGTCTTAGGCCCCAGGGACATGAAGGGCAAATCCGGCCTGAGCTTGGCAGACTGGGCAGCACCAAGAGAGACTTGGCATGTCTCATTTGCTTAGGACAGGGAAATCTGAGTCTGGGGGTACCCAGAGCAAGGCAGGCAAGCCAGCTGTCTCCTGGGAAGGGGATCCTTGCCCAGCCCCCTTCCCCTACTACCATGTCCCTCTCTCTGACCCTTCAACCCCCTGTACCTACAAAGAGGCTCAAGCCCTCATGATTCCTCTGTTTTATGGAAACAAAGTGGAGGGGGTTACCTGCCCTTGCTGTGCACAGCTGGGCCCAGATGTTTCCCCCACTTCACCCCCTGTCTGACCAGGCCCCAGACCAGTCACTAAGCAAGAGTTCCTCCATGAATGTAGAGGCACCAGTCACCAAGTAAATGCCCAGCCTCCAAGCAAGGGGGGTGCCTGCTCCAGAATGTGCTCATGGACTTGGGGGGTAGAGGGCTCTGCATGTCTGGATGTGCTGCCAGCTCCCTGGCTTCTGGGCAGATCCCTCCCAGGCTGCAGCTCCTGGGGTAGAGCTTCATAGCTGAACTTCCCAGGAGAGTCCCCGAGACATGAATTAGAGAGCCCCCATGTGTACAGAAGCAGGAACAGAGACTCTTGGCAGGGCCCAGTGACCAAGCGATGAGTGTGATGGCGGTGTGGAGAGTCGGGGTGAAGGCCTGGGCATCATCAGTCTGAGGTACACACTGGAGACTCCACCCTGTTCCCGGCATTCACTTCTGGTGTTTCTCTTCTGGAAGAAAAACCCAAGAGTACGCCAAGAGGTGTGTATGTGTGACAGTGTACATCCACACTGGTTCCTTCTAGCCCCTTCCATCCTCCATTTCTCCTGGGACAGCTGCATTCTCCCACAGCATTCATCAGGGGATCCCCAGTTCCACTGTGTCTCCTGATGCAGCCCCACATATCCAGCTGCTGCCAGACACAGTTCTCAGATGCCCCCTGGGCCTCCTTCACTCCCCATGTTCTATCAACAACGCCAGCCCAGCCCGGGGCATATTTTGCTCTTGATTTTCAGTTTGGGAAACAACTACCCAGTATGATGAGATCCAGAAACTGGTGGCATCAACTCTTCCTGTCATCCCCTTGGGTGGCTCTCCATTGCCTTCAGCATAAAGGCAAGCCCACCTCGTATCCCGGACTCTCCCAGATCTGTCCCCACTCAGTTTCTCCAGGCCTCCTCTCCCCTCGGTCTGGCCCGCTGGCCTCTCTGCCTGACAGCTGCTCAGCCATACCTGGGTACAGCCAGAAGATGGGGCAAGAGGACCCCCCACCCCCACCCCCTCACCTACCCCCAGGGGCTGACCGGGCATCTGCAATTCTCCCCAGGACACATTCCCTCATAAATCACAGGGAAGCTACGAGCATCAAGCCTCAGCAAAACTTCCCTAAAAGGCCACCAGGCTGGCTTGGGAATGTAGCAGGGTCCCCTCTCTCACCCCCGCCCCATCCGGCTTTAGAAGGCCCGAGGGACTACAGCCACACAGGGCAGAGCTGTTTGGCTTGCAGCGGGCACACACCACTCCACCTCTCCCACGTGGCCACAGATGCCTAGCCCAAGTCTTTCCTGTGGGCCCCACAGGTGTTGCCCAGAACCAGCTCACCCTGGGCTGGACTCAGTGTCTCCCCTCAGACCAGCTCAACACAGCTCATCAGCCTCCCCGCCTTGCCCCTCCCATCTGTCCTCGATGGTTACCCCAGTCCCTTCCATGCTTCCACCCTTCTCTTGTTCCCACTGCCATGAGGATAATGTCCAGGGTCCTTAACTTGGCATTCGAGGCCCTTTCCGCACTCTAGCCTTACCTCTCTCCCCTGCACTCTGAGCCCCAGCCCCACGAGACGGCAAACCATGCTAGCCTAGCTCTCTCTCCACCAAGTTCCATCCTCCCCTTTCAAACCTCTGCTCAGACCTTGCCTCTTCTAGAATTCACCTCCAACCCTGGCCCAGCAGGGATTGCTCCCTCCCTAGCCCTTCCAACCTGTCCCATCCTGTTAGGGGCACCATCCAGCAGCCAGGACTGAACAGTGCCCGAGACACAGGCTTTTCCCCGTTGGCTAAGAAATTTTCTAAGTTTTCTCAAGAAAATTTGCCGAGCCCCTTGGCTGTGTGGCTGCTAGGGAAGGCTCTCAAGGAAGACAGAGAAGCTGCCCGCGCTGCCAACGAGGCCTGACCTCGCAGGTGAGTTAGTGTGATCAAGGTTGGCCGGTGGATTTCCTCGTAGACCACCCCTGTGCTTCAGCCAGAAATGGGGAGGCCCTGGGCTCCCGAGGATGGAATTTTAGATCTATTTCACCTTCTTCAGCTCCCTAGGAGTAAGCACAGTGGGTGGGTCAGAAAGAACCATACAGGGGGCAGAAGGCCTTGTCTTGCTCCCTGCTACCTCACCCACACGCTCCAACAAGGCCTTGCTGTGGCCAAGCACCTAGCCTCACCCTCAGGTGAGGCCCTCTGTGTGTGTCCGGTATGGACAGACCCGTGGTGGGCCAGCTTCTTCAGGGGGAGGAGGCCAACTTGTTTTGGCCTCTTTAATAAGACAAAATGTTTGCAGTGCCCAGGAGGACTGGCCAGCGTGGGAGATAGGAGCCGATTGATTGCCTTGGCCCCTACGGAATGACAAGCACATGATCTATTTATAGCCCCCCAACTCCAGGCTCCCTCCCCTGAGGCTGGGACACATTCCTGCCGGAGATGGCCCTCAAGGACCCAGCTGCTCCCGTGCAGGCTTTGGCCATTGCTGGGCCTAATCCAGACCCTCCACAGCAGCCCAGCCATGGGGCTACTGCCTTGGCTCACACTCCCGGGAACAGGGAGTTTTTTGCCCCCACTTCTTCCCTCTCTAAGCAGCTCTGACAGGGAGAAGAGGCAGCCTCCCTTGCCCTCGGGAGGTTTAGAATCCCCCACACTCTGAGGCTCCTCCGGCAGCAGAGGCCGGCAGATGGATGCTATACCCCAGCCCACTCCTCTACACGCTGCCCTCAACCCTGCCTCTGCCATTGTCCCTCCTTTCCTGGATTAAGGCAGACCCAGAGCTGTGAGCTCAGAAACTGAAAATCCCCTCTTCCACCCTCCTACTAGGTGACACCAAAGAGGCCAACCCAGTGTGGTCTAGGGTCCCGGAGGTGATCAGTAGCTGCCCACTCCACGCCCGGGAGACTGTCCTGCGCATGCCTGCATAAAGACAGGCTGGGTTCAGAGAAGTCCGAGGCCAAGGCCCAAAGGAGGGTACAGTGGGCCTGGCCATGCAGGGTTGGTGGCGAGTGAGGAGAGGGAGGGAACATGGCTCTGAGCAGTGCTCTTGGCCCTGCAGCATAAGGCCCTGCAGGTACCACAGGCCACAGCCACCAGAACAGAGCCCCTTCTCGTCCTCCACTTGGAGATCCAAGAATACTGCTTTTTCTGTACAGACAGGGAGGCTGCAGCCTGGGAAGAGAGGCAGGCAGGGAGGTGGGCAGGGAAGCAGGCTAGAGGCAAGCAGGGTGGGGAGGGTCTGGAGCTCCCCACTCACCATCCATGTGGTTCCGGGACAGGTACTTGAGGGCTTCATCAAGCAGGATGACAGGCAGAGATATCTGGAGCACCACCACCCACTGGCGCCCGCTCAGTGGGGTCACCTGGAAAATAAGCTGGGGAGCGGGGAGCTGTGGTTAAAGCTGTGCCCCCACCATCTAGCTGCTTCATACACCTGGGCTACCACGGACTCTTCGTGAGCAAGGTCCCACCTCCAGATCTTTGTCTACCCTGGTTCTTCTGCCAGAAGAGTCTGCCCTCCCCTGCCCTTCCCTGCCCTCCCACAATGACCAAATCATCTTGGTCCTGTTTGAGAAATGGGAGGGATTCTGTACTGGGGAGGAACATAGTCTCCTCCTTGCCCTGGCCTTGGGAGATTCCCCACAGCAAGAGGCCTTATCTGCACCTCTTCAGTCCCCTAAGTCTGAGGGTTCCCAAAGCACAAGCTGTTTGTACCAAGCACTTTCAGATCTCCCCACTCCCAGGCTGCCAGGCAGTTTCCACAGCAAAAGGGCCCAGAGAGGCCCAGTGCCCAACCCAGGGCCAGACCGTTGCAGGAGGGTTTGGACCCCGTCACAGAAGAGAACTGGGGCAGGGCAGAAACTCACGGGCAGGGGTGGTACCAATAGGATGAGGAAGTGCAGCGCCATGGACATGGCCACAGCGGCCAGCAGCCAAGGGTTCAGCCAGGGCGGCATCCGCAGCAGCGACTGGTTCTCTGACACGCTGCCAAGGGCACAGAGTACTCAGCACAGGCCCTGCTGTGGGCACCTCCACCCGTGTGGCCTGGGCCTCAGCATTTCCCTAATTGGGCCGACAGGCTGGAGCGCTCTGGGAGGCCAGTGGAGCCAGGAGGGGCGTGTCACAGTTACTTGCTCAGCCCTAGTGGCCTGTCCTAGGGCTTGGATGCCCCTTCTCTGTCCCTCAGACCCACTCTTGGCCCCTCTATTTATTCAGGCCCCAGTCGTGGCCCTCTTTGTTCCCTAGATCTCAATTCTGGCCCCACTTCCTCTCAAAACCCACTTTGGGACCCCTCTGACACTTAGGCCCTAATCCCAAACCCCCTGATCCTCAGACCACAATCCTGGGTATCTCTGACCCCAAATCTGGGCCCTGACTGACTCTCAGCCGCCACACTTAGGCCTCATCCCCCATCTCTCAACCCCAGCTCCAGGACCCTCTGCCCAGCCCACCTGTTGAGGGCATTGCACATTTCAATGGTCACCAGCACAGACAAGGCCATGGTTGTGGGAAAGCGTGACTCGAAGACCTCACAGTCGATGTCAGCAAAGAGTGGGTTGTCTTTGGAGCACTTCAGGAAGTTCCTCTGAGGGTACCAAGGTTGGGTGGGGTAGGGTGGGAGAGAACAGTGGTCAGGGGAGGGGCCGGTGTGTGGGAAGAGGGAAGCCTCACTCCATCCTCAGCCCACATTTGAGGACATAACACAACCGCTGGGCAAAGTGCTGCCATGCGGTGGGCCCAAGGAGGGGCACCCACCCACGATGGGGTCAGAGGGGCGACGCTGTGCTGGAGGAAAAGGCAGGCCATCCTGGGGCAGAGCTATGGAGGGACAGAGCAAGAGCAGCTAGCATTGGGATGGGGAGGACAGAAGAGCACCCTGGGATCAGAGGGAGGATGCGGGCTTTACCCTGAGTGTGCATGGGTGCCCTGAATCAGAGCTGCCAGAGTGGGGGCGGTGATTTACTGAGACCACAGAATAAGTAAATGCTGATGAAAACCGATCAGCCAAATTGTTTGAACAGAATTCACCTTTGGTGGGCAAAGGCTGCATGTACCCTAATCACTGCTATTAAATAAGATTCCACTCATACCTTCCTCCATTTCTGCCACTGAAACTGAGCTCTACCAGCTGGCATTTTGCTTACAACATGGATTAATGAATTGCTAGGTGTGGGCTTACTACACGGCTTCCTCATAATTAAGGAAAAGATCTCAGGGCTCTCTATAGGGGATGTGGCTGTTGGCCCTGTAGTCCCAGGGGAGAGTTTGCTTCCTGTTCACAGACTTTGCTTACAGATTCTGCTGAGATAAGATGCTGAGCTGAGGACATGCATGAGAACTTCTACCCTGTTCTCTTCCACAACACTGGGATGAGTGTGAACGTTCATCACAGTTAGACAGCTTCCTTCTCCAATAACATAAATTTGTTCTCTGGAATATCATCTGAACACAGAGATCTTTTAAGCTCAAGTTGTTTAAAAGCTGGATCCACATGATGTAAAAATAACCCTCAAAGAGAAATCTATAAAATGACAGGCTCTCTGAGCTCCTGTCCCGTAAATAGATCTGTTTTCCCACACTGCATAAATACGGGCAAGGTGACTGTCAGCCAGAAGGGGCCGCTAGCACTTTCCTCTTCTCTCTCAGGCAGGATGAAAAATTCTAAAAGACTATGGCTTGGCTAGATTTCTTATTTCAACAAAGAGGTGAAGATTCTTATCTCATTTAAATCAACAGTGGGATTTTCTCCAAAAATCAAGCACCAGTATTTGGGACAAGTGCATGTTTTTATTTGGCAACATCCTAAAATTTTATTCCACCCGGAGAACAAGAGGACCAAGTGCCTCTTCCTGTTGTACCACTATGGTCAGGCCCCGCTTTTCCAGATCTTAATGACCTATGCATCCATGTGCATACAAATGTAGTGTACACACCTCCTACTCAAGCATGTGCAAGCCTAGAGCCTTATGCATGTGCAGAGGGGAAAATAGACAAACAGGGTCACATCCCGATGTTTCAATAGATAAATGCCCTGCCCAATTCAGACCTTCTGGGTTTTACCAGTGTGCATCTGCCACACGCGTGCATTATGCCCCAGGTCATGAGTCATAGTGTGGCCTCGTGAATCGTTTATTAGAAGGTACTCAGGGCTGGAACTTCTGTCTCATAGGTTCATTGTGAGCCTTGTTGGGGTGGGGGCTTGTTTTCTCTGGGTGATGCCACTGCTCTGCCTACTCCTTCCCTTTGCCTCCCTGGCTATTTCCTCTTTACCTTATCCTGCAAGGCCTCCTCTGTGTTTCACTAATTTAATTAATACTTACACAACTCTTACTATGTGCCAGATATTGGTCTAAGCACTTTACAAGAATTGACTCCAAGTTAATCCTCCTGACCGCCTTATGAGGGCTGAGGCAGGGACAATTATTACCCATTTTATAGATGAGGACACTAATAGAGAGGCTAAGTAGCCTGTCCAAAGTTACACAGCCAGTGTGTGGCCAGAACTAGGGTGTGGACCCAGGTAGCCTGGGTCCAGGCTCCATGCTCTGTGCTCTTAACCACTCTGCTGCCTTTTGACAGCTTCCTTCAGGAACCAAGGGCGGTTCTAGGCAGCTCTGCTGAAATTCCAACAACCAAAGCTGAAAGCTCTACCTTAGGTCTAACCCTAGACCACCTCCAAGTCCCACAGCCACCTGTATTTTTTCTGCTGAAGCTTCTCACCTTAAAATGTGACTGCCCACTTCCGTGTTCTTCCCAGGTCTTCGCAGAGCCTTTGCCTGCTTGGTGACTGGCACACAGTCGATGCTTAATAGTCATTTTTTGACCAGATGGATAAATGAGAAATGGAATGACCTGAAGACAGTTGGGAAGGTGGCACCAATGGGACTGGGGACTAACTAGTAGTGGGCATGGGGTATGTGTCTACCATGACCCCCACGGGTCTGGCATGGGTGACCAGGTCGGCTGTAGAACTGAGATGGGATGAAAGAAAGGGATGATTTGGGGAAAGGTGATAGATTTTTATTTTGGTAAGTGCAGTGGGCCTGTGGGACATCCCAGAGGAGATATCCGGCTGGATATATGGGACTGGGCTCAGAAGAAAGATCGGGGTGGGGGTGGGGTATCCTGGGAGATTTGAGATCTATAGATAAAAGAGGGTAACAGAGACAGTGCTGAAGAAGGCAGAGGCAGGATGGTTAGCACGCCCTTGCACTGCACCTTGCTGCTCCCATAGGAGCTAACTGAGCAGAGGTGCCTGAGGCTGGCCTGAACTTTCTGCCAAGGGCTGGGGGGCACCATCCTTTGGGATGAGAGCCTGGGCCTGTGCTCTGCACTGCTGTCAGAAAGGAGAGCCCACGTGCTAGAGGGCTGGTGGGTACCAGGAAAGTGTCCCTGAGCTGACTGTACCTAGATGTGAATACTGTGATAAGGCCCGAAATCACAGAGTCTCCCAGGGAGGACAGCCAGTGACAGGGCAAAGGGTCAGGTCCCTCCTTTGAGCTCTTCTATCCACAAGAAGGTAACGAAGGCAGGTACACTCAGAGGAAGAAGATCCTAAATCCCTGCAGCTCTCAGCTTTAAATGAAAAATCCACAACTGGCTTTGCTAGATTCGCTGCGAAGGTTCTTTGAAGCAAAAGAGATACCCAGACAGGGGCGCCTGGGTGGCGCAGTCAGTTAAGCATCCAACTCAGTTTTGGTTCAGGTTGTGATCTCAGCGTTGTGAGATCGAGCCCCACATCGGCCTCTGTGCTCAGTGTGGAGTCTGTTTGGATTCTCTTTCCCTTTCCCTCTGCCTCTCTACCCCACGCTTATTCTCTCTCTCTCTAATAAATAAATCTTTAAAAATAATAATAAAAAAAAGGAAATGCCCAGACAGAGGGACAGACTGACAGATAGCAGCTGAGGGGTCTCTTTGCTTGCTTCTAGAGCTATCCTGAGCTAAGCTAGCCCTGTGGTGGGCACCTGCTAGGCAGGTGACTTCAAGAGGTCAGTGGATCCCTTTCTAGAGAAGCATGTTGTTATGGAGGTGGAGGGGGAGCCTGGCAGATTCCTTCCCTCCACTGTCAATCTCCTTACTTGGACCCCCTGCCTGAAGTTCTACTTTTTAGGGGTTCATATCTCTGAGCCCTCAATTTTTGGGGGGGTTCCATGATAAAGGTAAGATACTTCTACACAGTTATGCCCCTTGTTAGTCCCCTAACTAAATGATTGGGAGAAGGAGTAACCACTTCTCTGGCTCAGGAGCTGGGCTGCTATCTCTAGGTTTCCAGTGGCTTCTGAGCTTGCCTCCTTTGATGGTGGATGTCTGTGTACGTGTATGGGGGTAAGGAGGGACAGCTGTAGGTCAACCGTGGGGTTCCAGGCCCCTTTCCCCTGGAACTCCAATAACTACTTGGGCTGTGAGTTCCACCTCAGAAATAACCCCAACAGGCTCCCTGGCTGTCCTTGCTTACCAGTTGGTAGAAGGTGACGTGAGGTCCCTCGGGATCATAAAGGAACCACCAAGTGGCAGCAGCCACCGTGGCCAGGCCCACGTACACTGCAAGGAGGAGAGGAGGAGACAGGCTATAGTGGGTAGCTGTGGTTTTCTGGCATCCACTTCTCCTTCCTAACAATCCCCTGAATTTCTGTCAAAGAACCACCCTCTCCCTCTCTGAGCCATGTGGTTTGCAAGCACCTGTCCTTAGCAACAGTGGTGGGCCCTGACCCGCAATCAGCACCCGCCACACCCCTGGCCACGGTGATTGGTAGGAGATAAGCAGGTGACCCAATCTGGGCCAAGAACAGGTCTGAGACTTTTGTCATATTACTGAGGGGTCACTCTCTGTTCTGTTGAATTTGGGGTTGTGATGGAGTAAACATGAGGCTACAGCTGCAGCAGCCATCCCCCCTCCAGGGGATGCCTGAGAATGGAGCTGAGGCAGAGCCAAAATATGCCGGTGATCCTGAGGCCTGGATCCAGCCATACCTGAAGCATGCGCTAGTCTTTTCCATGAGATGAGCCCAGTTTCTTTTGGCATGAGCCAGGCCCAGGCATACTGTCTGTAGTTTGCAAGCCTAAGTCAGAGAAGCTCTCAAGAAGCCCCTGAAACTCCACTGAGGGCCCCACTCACCTCCAATAGCCAGATATCGAAAAAAGAGCCAGCCGCTGATGAGGGCCTCATGAGGGTTCCTCGGCAGCTTCTCCATGATGTCCAGGTCTGGTGGGTTAAAGCCCAGGGCTGTGGCAGGTAGCCCATCTGTCACCAAGTTCACCCAGAGCAGCTGCACAGGGATCAGGGCTTCCGGGAGGCCCAGAATTGCCGTGAGGAAGATGCTGGAACCAGAGTCACAGGCTCTAGTCCCCAGCAACTGGAGGGTCCTACTCCTACTCCCAAGGCTGGGAAGCTCACCTACTGTCTGCATAGGAGCCCCATCTCACTTTGCCAGTTCTTACGTGTGTGCGTGGCTCTTCCCCACGCTGGGTCACTCCTGCCCTCAATCTCAGCTCTGGAACCTGGACAAATCTGGCCTTTAGGCCTCTCCTGTTTAGGCCACAACTCCTCTAGGGCATGTGCGCACGTGGACAACACACACCTGAGTACATACACATTTTTTTTTTTTTGACAGGAGCAAAACTTAGCACAGGCCACACAATCACACAAACATAAGCACCTACAACGCTTGTCCCCACATGCAGAGACGGCGGGATTCACATGTGTCCAGGCAAACTTGTGCTCACCATTCCCCACAGGCCTCTCTCACATGTGAGCCTGAGTGTGTACAAATTATATACTGGCACAAACCCTCTGTGCTCATACTTATGCCCAAAGATGCACAAGAGAACACATGCACATGTGTACACATACCTTTCATTTGAGTACACACACCATGCTCACACACAACTGTGTGCACACATTCACATACACATGTGAGCACAATTACTGCCCCAAAGTGGGGCTAGTTCTCCCATCTTGCCAAATCTAAACGTGGGAGTTATGGCTGAGGGATGATAGGGTACTTTTTAGGCCCCTTGTTGGGGGCTGGGGTTCACCGAGGCCTCTGGAGGAATGATGAGGTGCTCCTGGCCCTGCCCTCCTTGAGGTGAGACCCTAGAAGGCCCCAGCCAGGGCAGGACATGTGCCCCTCCACCCTTATAGCCCCATCCCAGGAACAGGCATCTCCCTTAGTGACCTAGAGCTGGTCAAGAGGGCTGGGAAGAGGAAATACAGGGCCTCACCAGACCACCTCGCCCACGTTGGAGGAGATGAGGTAGCGGATGAACTGCTTCATGTTGTTGTAGATGGCACGTCCCTCCTCCACCGCGGCCACGATCGAGGCAAAGTTGTCATCTGACAGCACCATCTCGGCTGCTGACTTGGCCACAGCTGTGCCAGAGCCCATGGCAATGCCAATCTCTGCTTTCTTCAGAGCCGGGGCATCATTCACCCCGTCTCCGGTCTGGGGGCAAAGTTAGGTAGGATCATGCCTAAGAAACTTCACCTCTCCTTCCTTGACTCCCCTCAACTAAGTCTATCCCCAAGCTCAGGGGACATCCCCAAGGAAGCAGACAGCTGAATAGAGCAAATGGTGAGGTTGAAAAGGAACTTAGAGACTGGGCTGGGGATGAGACGGTTGCAGACCCGGACAATTTTGAAGAGAAGATCAATTTGAAGGTCCTCATCTTCTTGATGAGGTGGACTTGGGGAAGAGGGTGGGTCACTGAGGATGGTGGAGATGAAATTCAGGTTGGCTGTGGTGTAGAAGATGAAACTGAGATTAGGGGCAAAATTAAGGTTAAGTCAGGGATGAGGTCAAGGTTGTGGCCCAGGAAAAGAACCAGGTAGGTGTTATAGCCAAAGGTTGGAGCCAAGGTGAAGGTCTGGGTCAACACTGGACTCAGGTAAAGGTCAAGTCAAAGTCAGAGGCCAAATCAAGGTTATGGTCCACATCAGGAGTGATGTCACAGTTAAGGTTGGAGATGCAGTCAAGGTCAAGATTAGAGACCATATAAAGTTGAGGACTACATAAAGTATTGGTTTTTAGGGGTCAAGGTCAATGTCAAGGATCAGGTCAGGGTGCAGGTCAAGACTGCAGCCCCTACACGTTCTGCATGGAGCACTGGGTGTTATGCACAAACAATAAATCATGGAACACTACATCTAAAACTAATGATGTAATGTAAGGGGATTAACATAACAATAAAAAAATTTTTTAAAAAAAGACTGCAGCCCCTAACAAGGTTGAGCTCAAAGTAAAAATCAGATTAAGATGGTCAAGTTCAAGGTCAGGAACCAAGTCAACATGAAAGTCAAAAATAAAGTTAAGAACCAGATTACAACTGTAGTCAAGATTGGTGACCAGCTCAGTATCAAGGTCAAGACTGGGTCACAGGTTAGCATTAAAGTCAAGGTAAAGGACTGGGGGTGGAGGTCAACAGAGGCCAGGTCAGGGGTGAGATTGGGGTCAAGAATCAGATCAGTGTTGAGAATAGGTCTGTAATCAAGAATGAGACAAAAAAAAAAAAAAAAAAACTGGGCCCAAACAAAAGGTCTATCCAAAGGTGATAATGGATAAATAAACTGTGGTTATATTCACATGGTGGAAGGCTACTTAATGATATAAAAAACAATCATCTACTGATACCCAAACAACGTGGATAAATTTCAAAAGAAAGAAGCCAGACACAAGAGTACACACTGTGTGATCCCATTCATATGAAAATCTAGGACAGGCAATCGATGGTGGAAAAATGGCCTGTTGTGAGAGAGGGGCCTGATGGGGAAGGTACGTGAGGGAACTTCATGCGTCCATAGTGATGTTCCTTATCTTGATAAGGGTTCGGATGACACGCAAAGGTGTGTATGCACTTATCAAAACACATCAAATGAATGATATGCTTAAGACTTGTGCATTTCGGGCGCCTGGGTGGCTCAGTCGTTAAGCGTCTGCCTTCGGCTCGGGTCATGATCCCAGGG